ATACTATAGTAACGCGAAGACTTTCAGGTGTGTAGCATTGATCTTCGGCTTGTTCTATCGAACTAACGCTGAAGTTTGTTATAAGATGATTGACAAGTGAACTTCCTGTCTCTCTCTGTCTATACTGCTGTATACATTGAGTTTCGGATTTGTATAAGTATAAATGCTTAAATCTTTAGCCTTAGTGATGAAGTTAGTTTGATGATGTGATTTATGTTTATGAAGTAAATATGTTTTTAAACAATGATTTTAATAAATTATGTTAAATTCAAAAAGCGCATTGTTATTTGATTAATAGACCTTTATTCAAGCGTAAACGTTGTTTTCCAAGCTATTGATGTTTTTAAATAAATGCGCTGATTCATCTAATTTGGAGGCGATACATAGCGAAATTCATAAAAAATCAATTTTTGCGAGGCCGAAAAGTCGCAGAAATATTTTTTTTGCTAGTAGTGAGAGTGAACAATAATTCCTAAGAGTAATATAATATAGTCAAAATCAAGAGTTTCTATTTTATATCTTTTTCTAACTGAAATTAATGCTTGCTGTTTTAACTAACTATACAGATGAATAATAATATTAGAAAATATTATTTTCGATTTTGTAAGGTATTAAATAATAGTACTCGATTATCATTGTCCATCATCACTTTTTACAATTGCTGTACGTAATTAGATTCTACCTTAAGCTACAAGCGAAAGAAGTCAGTTTTTCTTCATTCAGTACTCAGTAATATAAAAATTCCACAAAAAATAGTTGCGAACTATTCTACTGTTCACGAGCACTTTCCGTCATGATATACCTTGAATAAGTAGAAGAGAGGAGTTTGGAAGTCCTAGCAAAGATGATACTTTTTAATCACTATAGAAGATGAAAAATGTTTACGTTTTAAAAAATAGTCAATCAATTTACGAACACAATCACGATAAATTCTTCATCGTTGAAACATCTCAATTAGCGATAGACGGAAGTCCTCAAGGAAAAAAAAGAGCAGCTTTTCGCAGCAGCACGAGCGCTCTCACTGCTACTGCTCTCGTACTTGGTACTTCCTTAGAAGAGGATACACCTCTCTCTCTTCCTCTCTCTCTCTCTCTCTCTCTCTCTCTCTCTCTCCCTCTCATTCTAGGTAGGGAAAGCTATAGCACCAGAAGCTACGAGCGCTATCTAGTCGGTGTGCTCGACTAATGCGATTAATGGTACGACTTCGTGTTACCGGGCACACACAGAGGCACTCCTTCGCCCTCGGCATGTAAGTGCTGCGAGTTACGCGTCCGCGCGAGCTTGAGAGCGGGAGAGAAGCTTCTGGCGCGCAGCACAGAAATTTAGATAGCAAGACGACTGGCTGCAAATGAGATACGAATATTAGACGAACAATGACTAATGATATTTTGGACTTTTATTCTTAAGGATTCGTCGAGGTGCATGGAATGTGAAAACGAAGTAGATAGCGCATTGTTGATCGTAGCGAATTTCTTTGAGTTATCGAGGTAGTAAATGGCAACACGAAATCCTGCACTTCGCGCAAGAACGTAGAGTTTAGAGAGAACGTTGTGGCACACGTGCACAGCAACGCACGGAGAATCAGGAGGGCACGCACGACTGCGCAAGTGTGCGTATACTTTTCAGCTGGTGCTGTGAGTGTGGGGGGGGGGGGGCGAGTTCGCAGACCTCCACGTCGGGCTAGCGAGAGAGAGACATCGTGCGACAGCCGGAACTGTCCTGCAACAGATGCGCAATTATCACTCGCGGTGATAATTCCGCAACTGCACGGTGGCAGCTACGAGGAGCCAAGCGCTGCTCAAACTGCCGGGAGGGTATCCGTAAGCTAATTAGTAAGTTCATTGTAAACGCGCTCCTGAACAAGAACAACTTGATTGGGAGCTGCAAGTCGGCAATAGTAAAAAGTAAACAGCATTTTATAATCTTATATTTGTTCAATAAACGCGTCGGTGTCTAGAAAACTCCGTATGAGAAATTTCAATCTGACCGTTCATGCATGACGCACTTTTTTCACGTTCTATCGAGCATGTGCATATAACTTCAATTCTTTTGACACTTGCATCGCATCTCACCGCGAATGCGCTAATGCTAATGCGATAAAAGCATAAACAAGGTCGCATACTCCGAGCGACATGCAGTGACGCACGTAGAACAGGGAATGAGAGCAAGCTGAGCGGGATTATAAAAGAAGGGAGTGCCTGATGCGTGATCTGTCAACGCTATCGTCGGAGTAGGCCTTGAGCGAACCACCCCAAGACCTTCGCGCATGCCCTAGAAGCCCACCCTTCCAAGCAACACGACCGAGGACAAGAGGTATGCTAATAGACACGTTACGAATTATAATTTTTTATTTTCATATTTGATTGAAACTTGACATTTCTGGTTAGACGATTGTATCAAATTATTAAACTTTTACAGCATATCTGACCATTTTCAAATTCAATTAAAAGATGAGTTTATGTCAGCGCCGTAACTTGATAAATAAGAGTCATGTTTAGAGCTTATAACTGCGGGTTATTAAAATTATTCCGCTCGTGTTTCAAACATAATTTCAGTTTGAATGTTTAAATTGATAATGGATTTGATGTTTGTCATTAAATATTCTATAAAATATATGGAAGTATAACGGGAAATAGATATACGTTCAATATAAAATACAGAGAGGGAGTCGAATAATTTTCGAAATAGACATTGAAATATAAGAGTTTGTATATATGCTTTCGAATGTGTAAGTTCACTTGATTTGGCAACTGTGTACCCACTGCAGCAGTAGATAGAGAGAAGACGAGTTTGGTAAAGACATGCAAAACTTGCCAAGTTAAAATCTTGACATGCTGGTGCGCTAACAGAATCCAAAATGAGCTCTCTCTCTCTCTCTCTCTCTCTCTCTCTCTCTCTGTCTGTCTCTCTCTCAGTCGATAGATAGCTAAACTCTACCACTGGTAAAACTTGGTGTACTCTGAGTACACATCTATAAAATGCTTAGAGGAGTTTTGAATTCTTTTGTATACTCTGCTCTCTTTCACTTTCCTGTTTCTCGAGATAATGGTAGATAACGTGTAAACCATTTATAAACTTTCCACGTCAACTGAATATTATTCGCTCCGGTTTTATGAGAGTTCGACAAGTATAATAATATTGTTAGCAGTTCATTGCTTAAGGAAAATGTCAATATTATCTCAGGACTTATTCGATCAATAATGGATATTTTATGAGCAGAGCTTTATAAATTATGGAAGCTTGAAAGGGTGTACACGGAAGCTCTGATCATGCCATAACAATTTTTATAACTTTAAATTTTAGATAAGGAAACGCAAATGGTGTTTAGAGCTTATATAAATAAATAATTTAAGCCCGAAGGGGATATGTACAACATCGCAAAAAATCCATTACGCGTCGTGACCTAAAACAAACTTTTTTTTGTTAAATTGGATACGCACAGAAATATGTCACTAGACGCAATGCCGATATATACATATATACTCGCGAGCGAATTTGCCTAGCACGTTTCAGCTTCTCGTCGGCAAATAGCTAGCAAATCGAATTGGCGCGTGCACTTGGAATCTCGAAATGTAAGTGTGTCCTTGTGAGACGTGCACATGTGTTTAAGCAAACTGTAAAAAGGGTTGAAGTGACATTTTTTCTTCTTTTGTGGCTTCCTTTAGAGATGTCAATAGACTGTACGTTAGAAAAAACAAATAGAACGTATGTCGAACAAGTTGGAGATTGTATATTTTCAAACTCAGTACTCATTGGGATATAGGTATATATTTTTTCTTATTTAAATCGATCTATCATGTTATTTGAAAAAGAAATTTCTTTTTCGAACTTTAGATCAAAAGTTCAGTGAATATCACATTTGATATCTAAAGTTTGTAGGTCGCTGTGAAACGAATTCCATACCAAGTTTCTTTTAATGTAGAATAGTGGGTTGGTGAGCAAAGGAATGACGTTTCTTTTAAGCTCTTCGCTTTTTCGGTAAATCTGATTAAGGATGAAAGTTTCCAGCTTTGTAAGTTGTTTTGAAGTGGTTTGAATCCACAGAATTAAAGCACATATTACTTGTCATAAAAAGAGAAACAGGGGAAATAAAGTTTTTTTGATCCAATGTAATATACTGTTACAAGTTTGATTTTTATTGACTCAACCGATCTTTCAATCAGGAAAAAATTCCGTGCTTTTATTGTACGTGTTTCCATTATCGATCAAAAGTTTAAATTCGTGCGAAACGGGGAATAAACAAGATACGATAATGCGATATTGAATTTCTCTGCGATCATCCATCAAGTATAGCCGAGCGATTCACAACAGTGGCCACTTTGAATACAAAATTTACGTAAAACCTCACGCTGCGTTACCTGCCAATACCCCGTTCATTTAGTATTTGTCTTTCAAACATTTCTTTCGTTATATTATATAAAATATACAAAAATTTACTTTTATATTTAAATCATTTTGAATAGATGAAAATACTTGTTACTGTATGCTAGTTACACGTCTGTTTTTAAAAATAAAAAAGAGGTATTTTGCTATTTTACGGCCAATAAGTACTATCACTAATTTTTTTAATTTTCGGTACAAGAAAAGCATAATTTAGTCGCTCGAAACATGTCGCAAATACACAATCAAGAATAAGATCTTTTAAGAAATTTAAAAAGTCGTAGCTAAAACGATATTCGGAACACAAGTATGTAATATTTTTTACCAAAGGAGGTACGTACAAAGTTAGAAAAATCGAAAACCCACACACATGGCCCTCTCCTTGTCAGATACTTAGAAAAATTTTTAATTGAATCAAAATAATCGATTGTACTACATAGATTCCTGGCATGTTTCTTGTCATTCTTTTATTTGAAAATATTGATTAGAACTAAGAGTTATTTTAATATAGTATCTTCTCTTGCATTTAAGAAAACTGATTAAGTAGTAATGAATGATTAAATGGAATTATACGTTCTATAAATAAACTATATGAAAGCATAGATGACTAGATAACGAACCTTTTTCTTCTGAATTCCGAAATATATGTTGAAATACATAAACACTTTAAAAAGAAGATGAACCTTCTGCGGCTGGCAAATAATACCTCGCGTACTCGTCGGCTGCGTACTCGTGCGTAGTCACAACTCTACATTATCGCATCCACAACACGGTGAGCGCACTTCCATCGCGACTCATTGTCACTTTCCTCGTGCACATATTTATTCGTTTTGCCCGCTCCCTGTCATCTGGCGCAAAGCGAACTCTATCTAGCGAGCATGAAATCGTTTATATCATCGCGCGCTTCGGCGATGGTGGGCGGGACGGGGAGAGGGAGGGGGCGCATAATTTTTCCCGCCTCGTAATTACAGGCTGCGCGACCGAAATGCCGAATGCGATCGGGCCAATTTATCGCTGCGAGCGGTATAATCGCGGCGCCTGCGTTGTTTCTGTAATTGATGCATCGGCCCTCCATTAGAATGACAAAACCGCACACCACTGCCGTCGCCGTTGCGTTGCGTCGAAACCCTACGATCATATAATGGACAAACCAGTAGGCGCAATATGTACCACGTGAGTTTTGTGTGACTGCAACTACGGAGGACCTCGTTATTACACATACGGATGGATTAGATTTTGCACCTCGCGCCAGTCAGAGAATTCAGTTAATAAGTGTCACTGTGGTCTGCTTCTGTGTATAGCACTACCCGTGCTACATGTGTATCGGATGTTTGGATTGTTGGTGCACTTCCGAATGTTACAAGCCATACTAATTTATTTACGGTCCCGCTTACTCGTACGCCCTTCAATTAGTCACCTTTTAATACATTTTATATATTCCTTATTTATTTGCCGCTCAATTATTTTCATTCGTAGTCACTAATTTGTCGGTAGATGTATTCAACTCATATTTAAATTTCACTTTGTAAATTCAAAGCAAATGCGAACCTGTTAATGTAGTTATTCGTACAGAAGATTTTTTTTTAATAAATGCAAATTCTAGATGAATGTCGAGTAACCGTAGTTCCATTGACCTGTGAAATAACGTATGCGTAAGATTTCAATGTTTTAAACATATTTTTTTATAAATAGTATGCTTTAACTAAACGATGAAAAAACAGTAGCGCAGTCGCAATACGTGTGACTAAACATTCAGTTTTCTGCTCATTTTTCTCACAATGGAAAAATAGACCACTAGACTTTGATTATTGGTCTGTTTTGGTATTATGAGAGAAGGGAGGTATTAACTATTCAGATTTCATTGGTGATTGTCTATAACATTATCCTATATATTAAGTCTTCCACAAGGCGAACTCATGCTTTTGATGTTGATTTGCTACAACTGCATGCTATGTTTGAACAGTTAATGCCAAGTAAGTGACTCTTGACTATGTCAGATTTGCATTTAAACAGGCATGCGTAACTAAACATTGTTTGATGATTCACGTAATAGTAGACACATTTATGCCTTTGAGAATAATATCCGTTGCGAAATTGAGAAGGAATTATTTATAATTTTTAATTGAAAAAGTATTCTATGAAAATATTCTCGAATTTTCAAAAAACTGTAACATTTTTCAAATCATATAGTTACTCGGAAAATGTATAATGGAAAATCGGACAGAGAGAGAGAGAAAGAGAGAGAGAGAAAGAGAGAGAGAGAGAGAGAGAGAGAGAGAGAGAAAGAGAGGGAAAGAGAGAGAGAGAGAGCAATGAACTTTCTTAATGAACTGGTTCGTATTCGTAACTGGCCGAAGTGCATAATTTCAAATTCATTGGGCAGAATTTGCGTGAAACTGCTTGTTACCCGTGCTGGTAATGCTCTTTGAATCGAAATTCAAAATGAAATTCGGAAGGCTAACTTGCTATAACGGCTATAGCTCGTTTTCATGCATTGCCATTCTCATGACTGTTCTGCGCGCGCGTTCTAGTCGTGATAATGAGACAAAGCGATTCAATATGCACCATGTTCGCTATTGCAACATTTAATCTTGGCTCACGAACTCATTCTGTATAAATTTAAAAATTCATCTGTGAGAGATCATTTTGGTTGCGATGTATATGGTCAAGAATTTTATTGTATTTTGATGGAATATTAAACTTTGAGGTTGAAGAAGTAATACGTATTCATCTGGATTATGCATTTGCTTTGGTTTATTACGGCCACATAAAAGAATGCCAACTTAATTGCCAACATAAAAGAAAATTAAAATTGTAAAAAATAGTCGACGAAGCTGAGATGGCAATATAGAAATGACAGAAAATTGCGTTTAACTGCAACAAAAAAGTTTAAGCGACTAAGAGAGAAAGGAAAGAGTGTTGAAACAGGGAAAAGGCGAGGAAAGAAAAAGAAGACAAATTAGGAGAGAAAAAAGTTTTTACGATCAACAGCGATGTCATCGTTGGCTATACGGAAATAGAGAAGTTACTAGATTTTTTATTTTCTTCACGAGAGAGAGAGAGAGAGAGAGAGAGAGAGAGAGAGAAACTTTTGAAAATATTGTTTCTTCATTGGATTTTGTACAATGGATGCCACTGTTGAAATTTAACTCTGTTTACACCTTAGCAGGTAAAAATTTAACGCTGCTACTCATTTACGTCATTATTTCATTAATATGCCCACGAATTCATTCATGGATTACTTACGCGTGTCAGAAAGATAATTTACAGCAGCAACCAAAAAAAGATATCTACAGGAAAATCAGCATTTTCATTTTCAATATTTTATATAAAAAGTATGCACAGTAAAATCTAATCGTTCATTTACTAGCGTTTGTCTGGAGAAGCAATTGAAAAGAATTTTGAAAATTACGACTTGGAGTGCTGACGTCCATCAAAATATCCTCGTAAAGATTAAGTTCGTGTCCTATGACAAAACTTTTCCATTATCCGCGTCATTTCCCAGAATACAAACAGCCTCCAGTTCATGCATCTCTTTTGACCGGGAGGAAGTACGATGAAAATTTTGCCGTTCAGTAATAAGAATATCCATTAACGCGAAAGAAAAGACGGAAAAGGGAATTTAAGAATCTCTCTCACCGAGAGAGTGAGTGAGGAACGAGATATAAGCTATGAAAAGACAAGCATTTTCTTGCGCAAAATAGCTTACTATTATATGGTGGAAAATAAAGCTGAAACGTGTTAAGAAAATAAAGGCCGTTCTACGCACATATAGCGGGAGTAAGAAAGTAAGAAAGAGGATCGAGCTTTCGTTCGTCCCATTAAGCATCACGTTTCACGTACATACTTCCTATGTACCTTGTTTCCTATATAGCTATCACTCGTTTACGTACTACAGAAAAAACGACCTATCCTGATCTCCCCCGCCTCTCTCTCTTCCCTTCGTTTTTCTCCCCACATTTCTTGCTCGATTTTTTCTCCAAGTGCCATCTGCTGCTTGTGAGAGGTTGAAACGAAGGTCTGATCATGTAACAAAGACAGCGTGATTGCAGAAAGATGCTTTTTAGGCCGATTTCATTTCTCTTTTTTGCCTGTGTCTCTATGTGTATATGCGCTGAATGAGTGATTGAGTGATTTTCTCTCTCTCTCTCTCTCTCTCTCTCTCTCTCTCTCTCTCTCTCTCTCTCTCTCTCTCTCTCAAGAATGTCGCTGAAAGTAAAAAAAAATGTTCTTATTGAGATTAATAGAAGATTCTTATCACCAATTTATCTATTTTCCAATCATATAGTAATCGTTTTTTTTTCTTTAGATAAAATTTTGTATCGAGATTAGCTTAATCAAACCAAAAAAGAAGTTGTATAAAGATGAAATATAACTTTCTGTCTATGGTTTCCTGACTATTTCAGCACATTGCACTTGAATATTTAGTATTGACGCATAACGGTGGTCACGTAGCAGCATTACGCAACTTCGCATATGGGATATCATCGAAGTAGTGCGCATTGCCATTCTCAGCAGGAATGACGTTACTACGTAAAGAGTGTGGCACGTGCCCGACAACTCAAATGTGTGCCCTTTTTCCCTTCGTTATTCATTTTTTCAGATCGGCGCAACTGGCTTCGACTTTCTCAGCCTTCATTTGCTATGCCTTACGTCGCTTCCACTGTATTGCTTTCTTATACTGTATATCGTCGTTATCTTTTATTTTTCCGCTATCCGTCCTGTCCTTCCGATAATCGCAGAGTCGCATACGTTGTGATATCTATGACAATGTGTATTGATTTTTTTTTGTATTTTTCGTATTTGTTTGCGTAGACGCGTACATTTTTATTTTTTATTTTTTTAACAATGCTTTTCGGCAGGATGGAAATTTAAATTCTTACCCTATATGTTTCATAAAACATTCAGTTGAATTTACATAAAAGAAAATAAAAAAAATTGTAGATAAGTCAAAAATCCATTTCAAAAAAAATATAACGTACGATGTTGTATTTTTTAATTTGACAAAACAGTCGCGTACATTTATTTAAAAAATAGCATATAAACGAAAAGTTTTGATAAAAAAATTGTAAAAATCCTAACAAAGGCAGCCAATCTATTGAATATGAAATGGAAAATTGGAGCTTCTCGGAACTAGAAATTGGAATCTGCCTGCTAAAAATTCAATGAATATAAACGGATTTTCTAACTTTTTGGTTCAAATTAAACTTCTAAGTATTATAGTATTATTAGAATATGATATAAGTATATTTTCTTTTTCGCGTATAAATTTTGTTAACTAAGTAAAGTTTTTTACGTAACTAAGGTAGTCAAGACTATAATTATATTTTATTACTAACTATAAAAATTTCTTGCTAATAACTTGATAAAACTTTCCTTAAAATTCTTTACTGTCCTGAACTTCCTAAATCAGATGAACATTTTAATTTTTGAGGTAAGCGCGCGCGCACGTTCATCAATAATTTATTTTTCGAGTAGAGTTCCTTCGATATTTTCCCTATCAACTGCTTCTTTCTCTCTCTTTCTCTCTCTTACTCTTGCAGCACTTTCTCATTCTCTCTTTCTCTCAAGCATCTCTTTTTTCAAAAGTTCTCTTGCCTAGAAGGAAAGGATAATCCGATATTACGAAGTCGCTTTCTTTGCTCTTTCTTCCTTCCAGGATGCATTAAAGCCTTGCTCTTTTCCTTCTCGCGCCCGAGAG